CTTGGAGCAGCACGCCCTAGGAGCATACTATTACCCCGCTAATACCCTAACCTTACCTTAAATAGTAAAAGCTGATCTGCTCAACAGCTTACCATCATCATTATCATAGCCTGGCCAGTGTGGCATTAGTCCTCAAGCATCCTCCAGCGCTCGGTGCACATGGCCAACATTTAACGATTTTTTTTGTTGCCACCTCAAGAGCTCTAGAGCTCCTCCAGCACTGCAGTGGCTTCCTGCTGCTGCTGTTGCTGCTGCTGTTGCTGCTGCTGCTGGTTCTGCTGTCGCTGCCATTACCACTGCAATTGTCAGTTGTCAAGGACGTTTGCCCATTTTGAAGGGATCTGGATTGTGGTTTAAAAATAGACAAATTCCGGCGCACTTTCTTGGCAAAATATTAATATGCATACATATACATTATATTGCGGCGTACCTAATGTAGTTAGACGGTGGGGCATCAGACGTGGCAAGGTCAACCGCAGAAGCACACTCCGTCAGTTAGAGTTTCGACTGGGCCACACTTTCAGCTGGGCCGAGACCACTGTGCTTACGGCTGACAAGAACTTCACTGACAGTTTTAGCCCAAGACATTTTCATGACAATGACGAGGACTGCTGTGGCGTTGACGACGAGGACGAGGACCACGAGGAGCATGATGCTGATGCTCATGATGATGGTAAGGCCGACTCTGACAATGCTTGACCTAGATGGGCTTGTGTGGAGGTTTCTAGTGGAGGTAAGTCCCGGGCAAAGGCAAGCACTTGAGACGTCAGAGGAGTGGCGAAAGGACTTTCACAGCATTACGCCTTGCGCCAATGTTTACAGGCAGAGTCAAAGCCAACAAATATTTAAGTTCTCATGCAATCACACATATACACACACACACACATACATACTCGAACAGAGTAAAGAGAGACGGAGCGAGCCCCCCAGAGAGTGGAAAATTGCGAAACTGAAAATTGCCAGTAAAATTGCCTTAAATCCACGAAAAGTGCACCATCAGAATGGGCCAAGGGTAGGTGTGACTTTCAAATTAAACTTGCCACCAAAAAGAGAACCGTATAGACGCAGAGGTGCACCCACAGATACACACCCGGCGGCAGGTTACCAGAGCAATTTGCATTCCATTGCATGGGTGCATGTCAATTTGGGATCTCATTCCTCTGAAAATTCCAGGAACGTCTAAAGTGCTCGAAGCATTCAGCTGACTGGTTTTTTTTTGTTTCACTTGTTTTATGTGTCGCTTCACGGCTCACAAATATTTCAGCCCTTGAATTTATGCGTGGTTCCGTCTGTGCTGATATCTATGCAAACGCTGGTTCTGGCTATGGCTCTGACTCTGGCCTCTGCCACTGCTACGACTCCTGCCCCTGTGCTGTGGCCTCTCTGTGCAACATGGCGTATGCGCAATTTATGAGGCTTGCAGAACAAAGCGTTGTGTAAGTGCTGGAGCAACAAGAACGACAGGGGGGCCTTTCGTAATGGAGCATTCGTGAGTGCATGGAGTGTCATGTAAGCCCTGCGAGTGGGCAACAAATTTTCAGCTTTTTTTGATGGCAGATTGCAATTTGTATTTGATGGGAAACACATATATTTTTGAAGTCGGAGACCCTTCCAAAAGGGTAAATAAAAGCCAATCATCCATTTTTATAGCACTTTCTGCTTATCGATCTGCAGTGAATTCCCCGGTCTTTGCACTGCCAGCCTTTTAGCTCCTAAAATGTTCATCTCAAGAGAAAATCCACTGACAATTCGATTGAGTCAACGCACACAGCCACACCGCTTTTCCACGTTGCATTTGTGGGGCTGCACACGTGCACGGCTATCGCACATTTGCAGTGAGTGGCATGGGGCGGCACCGCCACCGTCCCCCTCTCCATCAACTTTCAATTTCTGAGACCAGTTTCGAGCGGGGCGCAGCAACGAACGGCAGACAGGCCACAGCGGGTGGGCCGCAACGGAAGGCACATGAATCCGTGCCAAGTAAGCAACAGCATCACATCAAAAAAGCCACCATTCCGGCTCTGGCTCCGGCTCCGGCTACGTCTCCGGCAGCTGCGTCAGCTGCTAATGTTCACACCTTTTGTGCGGATCCCAACCGCAGAGTAAGGATGGGGCAAGAGTGCAGGGTGCTTGCCACTCGGTACGCATTCAAATTGGTAACTGTTACTGCCACTGCCACTCCCACTGGCTCTTCCGACACGTGGCAGAAGTCTAAGTTCAAGTAGAGCAGCTGCATCTGCTGATTAGATATCCTGGGCATTTTACGGAGCTTACGCTTCTCAGAAAAGTTAAGGTAGCCATCTGCTTGCTGTAGTTTCGAATGAATTTCTTATATTATTTACAGAATTTCCCCCAACTGAGCTGGTCTCGCTTGACCAGGACCAGCAGCGTGAACTGACTGACCTGGCTGACAGGGTGAGTCTTAGTGTAATTTTTTGGCCAGCTGCCAGGACAGTACGTCCCGCCCACCGTTTGACAGCCTGCAATTGCAGATCGTAAACAAGTTGTTTACCATCATTTTGGTCCTGTCCCCCCTCCCAGTCCATTGATTGCGGTGGTTCATTATTGCCACCGCCAGACAGCTGCGCCCCGAGCGAAAAATTGTTTTATCCTTGAAATATTTTCCCCCTAAGAAGAGACTACAGGCATCTATGAAGATATTAAAGTGAAGAACATTCAACATGAAGGGCATTGGTTCCACGGGAAAATATATTCGACTTTCTTTGGCATACCACCATGTGGTATATGTTTATGTGCAGCTAAACCAATTCAATTCCCTGTGGTCAGCGCCGTCAGCATGTTGAACGGACTAATCATAGCCTGACCCTTTACCATCTCCACCCACCTCAAAATGAATGTAATTTGAGTTATTATTATGTGTGCCATAGGCCCCGACCGTAGACCTAGAGGCGCAGAAAATGTCACATGGCTGTGACGCATTATTACATCCAGGCCATAGACCAGACATACATATTTACGTATGTCCTCTGCGGTGCGGGGCGAGCAGCGACCATCCTGCCAAGACCTGTCCACCTGTCCAGCTGTCTACCTGTCTAAAATTACACACACTCAAACCAGAACGAGAGTAGAGCGGGGCGGAACATTAAATTTGCCACCCGATTATTCAATTTACACGCGACAGGCGGAAATTTTGTGCGGATAATAATAATAAAACTAAAGCGGACCCAAACAAAAAATCGATGGCCATTCAGGATTTACGGAGCACACGGTTTGTAGGTGGTGGGGAGGGGGAGGGTGTGCGTATATCTTGTTTATATTTTGTTGCAGCTTCCGATATATTTGTATTTATGTATTTTTCGTGCTGCCTGAATGCATAAATGCAACAAAATGTGGCAGTATTTCAGCGCAATCCCCTGCCAACGATTCACGGTATCTTTTATTTGACTTTTTTCCAGGCAAACGATTCGTAACCATTCAGAAATCAACATTCGAATGGGAATACCAACTGTCGTTGGTGAAAATAATCGAAAGGCGAAGCCGTAACGTAACCCTTTTCCCACATCATTTTCGTTGGTGTTTGGAACTTAATAAAAGTTTTGATTGAGGTGCAAATTGAGAGCCATTTCAGTTTAAATTCGGCAGCATATTGAACACTTTCAGCAAAATTGACAAAGGATTGAGGCGACTAGCGACTAGCCGAAGCGGAGTGCGGACAGGTTTCTGAAGACTTTTGTTCCGAGAAAAGCTTTGTCGGCCCCCAAACCCCCAAAAAAAACCACACACACACGAAAAAAAATAAAGGAAAAAACCAACCAAATGGCATATAATTTTTCATGCTTTTATTTTTGTTTGGTTCCCTGTGCATCCTTTTATTCCCGAAAATACTATAAATTATGTTTATGTTCTGAGGGGTTCGCGTGTGGCTTAGTCCAAAAATTAGTTGTCATTAGATTTAATAGTCTCGGCCCACCTTTTGTTTGTTTGTTTATTATTAATGCTGCAGAGCCAAATGGACTCGTTGAGCTCATTATGTCTGATAAGATCGTGGATTACGGGTCTGACTACGAGCCAAAGTAGAATTTTTCACACTTTTTGGCCATACTATTCCACTGCTTGCCCAGCGGACACTTTCTTCGACCACCGCAATGGACGATTATCAAAATCAATACCACAATCAGCTGAGAAAGTTTCATAGCGAGTGAGCCATTGGCCCATTTGTCCCCCAAAACGTACCCCACAATGTATTGATTAGTCAAGGCTTTGTGCAGAACCGCACCGCACCGCACCGCCGCGTCCGCTCAGCTCACAGGCATTTGTCACATACTCTGGAAATGTAGCTGTAACTGTAACTGTGAGGTCGCAACGCTCCAGAGCGCATTCCCAAGCGGTGATGAAGATGAAAAATGTGTCATGCCAACACCTGCGGCAGTTCTGAGTGGAGGAAGCAATATATATATATAGACTGAAGCCGAAAGTGTAGCCACAAAACATGATAGGAGCATCAACCAATGCGGGGAACAGGCGAATATTTCACGATTAAACTCTCCCACAGACACAGCGTAGAACAGCTCACGATGCGTATGCGTATGCGTAATTTGCTTGAGGGCTTTGCCCAGATTTATCTGCATTTGTATACATTTATGCCGACATTTATGGCTTTGCTATGGTAATGAGTGCGGGGGCAGTGGTCTTATTTGATTGGAAGGAAAAGGCCATAGAAAGGATATTTGTATTGCAAAACGAGCTGCGAAAGACCTTGAATAATAACTCCAAAATTTGATTATATAATTTATGTGTCCAGCCACAAAGTAGAACACTTTCTAGCACAACTTCTCTGGGGCTTACACGGCCCAGCCCCCACATACCACCGTTTGTCCTTCGTCACTTGCCATAATGTCGACACTGTTAAAAATTCCAACAAAAACTTGTGGCCCAACGAGCGGGGCGGCGCGTATGTATGATATGCGCTTCACAAACTTTGTCCGCCGCTATAGCAAACGAAACTTTGGATGCCAACTTTATTGGGAAAAATTCACTGCTTAAACGCCGCATACACAACTGAGATCCACTCAGTTAACTTTATTGGGGAAGTGCACAATTTAAATTCCCAACAGATCTGGGGTCAAATGCGCAGGAATACATTCAAATGTTCGCCCAAATTAGAAAAGTTCACGATGCCCTGTTCGGGTTCTTCATCAAGAATCTTTAGAAGGGCCCAAGTGCGTAAACTGATGGCGCTGAAATTGGCCAGCACCAAGATTTTGAAGAACAGAACTTTGGCAAATTCCAAAAACAAATACCGCATACTGTCGCCATCACAGATACCGATCAAAATAGCCAGAGTCCAGAAGGTAATCAGCACACTTTTGATCCACTGATAGAGGAATGACGCCAGGTAGGGGACAATAAGCATTAGTAGAGGATACGGAAAGGTGTCCCACATTTTGCGAGTGACACAATATCCATAAAAGCTGCACCGAGAGTAAAGGTACAGGAAGAGCGCCACACCTGTCGATTTGAAGAGGAATAAGATTTCACCTCGCAGACTGAAGCCGATCTGTGACTTATATGACAGCAGAATCTTATGGTCATGGCTCCAGAGCCCAGAACTCTCCAAGTGCTCGTTGACCTTGGGAACAACGTTGGCCGCGTGCAGCATTACCCACAGATAGGCATGGGACCACAGTAGCCTCAGCACAAGCATTATCCAGCGAGTGTACTTGTGTTCCACGTACTGATGGTGCGGCATCTTCAGGATGAATCGAAAGATTAGAGTATTAAAATGTTTGTTTTTTACTTACGATAAGCACTACCTACTTGTATTATTACATATATGATTAGTAGCTATCAGGCTTCTATGATGGATTGTACTAAATGAGCTCTTTAATTCCAGTATTCAGCTTCTTTAAGTTCTCTATTACGAAACATATTCCCTATCATAATCGCATATAAACACCTTCTTGAGTGGGAAAACAACAACAATGAAAACACCACACAATGGGTCTCTGTATGTCTCAGTAAAAGTCAATTAAATTTGCATAATTTCCATATTAATGGCACAAAAGAAACACAAGACTCAACCGATGAAACTGTCACTCCTTTCTCCCTCTCTCTGCCGCTCATTCATCCTCTTCATTGCCCACTCTTTTGCATCTCACTTTCTCTCTCTCTCTCTCTGGTTCAATGGAACACTCACTAGGATAGCCATGGGGACGGACTGTCAGACGACATTGCCGCTGTTTCTGACAGCTCTGATTGAGGCCATCATTGACAGTGTTAGAGCGACGATGCCCGGCTCGACTGGCATCTAGGAAATGGCCAGTTAGAGCGCTGATTGCATGGGTTGCGGCCTCTGCACTGATGGAGAACTGGTAGAAGTGGCCGCCATTGTGGTGCGAATGAGAGATGACTCCACACAGTTGCTGAAAGCTGCTGGAAAATGTCTTTTGCACTTAAGCTGGCGCACAAATTGCTATGCTAATAAATCGACAGACATACGAGTACAATGTGTATGGTGGTATGTTTGTATGCCACTTATAGATGGCTCGGTGTAGGGGTAATAAAGCAATCTATAGGATATCAGCCAGACAAACAACGTGGCACATCATTTCTTACCCCCACACCAGTACCAGTACCAGCACCAGCACCAGCAGGTGCAAAAGGCAATCGAAGAGGTATGAAAAACATGTCTTATCAACATTTATGACACTTTTATGAAGCTCTCATCCACACAGGTACAGGCGTGTTAAACTTTGCCGTTAGTGGAAGGGAAAATCATTGAGGCGCAAAATGGAGCAATAATCTTGGCACAGTGGGAAAGTAAAAGGGTATGGGGCCACAGATGGGGAGTGAGGAGTGGAGTGTGTGTAAGTACATATCGATAGTTTGCGGAAGCTTACCACCTTGTCCTGTCAGTTGGTCAATGCGGCCTTGGACGCATAAAAGTCAGCTTAACACACCTGTGTACTTACATCCATATATGTATGTATGTACCAAATATGACAGATACTCGTATATATAAGGGGATATACATACACATATGTATGTAAAAGGACAGGCACACAGTCACATCGGATGGCTTATATTGAACGACACAAAATAATTAAGTTCCCATATTGATGTCTTTACTGAGCTCAGGTTCGTTCTACCTTTTACCACATCCACTCCATCAGCAGCATCATGATTAAAAACGATGATTGCGCACAGCTGGACCCCAGTTGGGAATAAATAGACTATACGGACGTACACATACATCAGGGCTAAGGCAACAAAAAAAATATATTACTTTTCCAAACAGGGTGTTTGCTGTGGAGTTGAAAAATTAAGATTAATGAAGGGGTCCACTTGGAAGGGGCACCATTATCGCAATTGCTACATCTTCAGTTTAAGGTTTCCTGTTTACAAATACCCCCACCAATCACCCTGTTTGCTGGCCAACTTCCATTGACTGAACTGGCCATCATTTGCCTTTACCGAGGGAGCACTGCGGGCCTTTTAAATATTTGATATAGCAAATAATTTGATTGCAAATCTGTACCGAGAAGATATTTAATATTCCGCTTAAAGTTTTAAACGTGAAATGGTCAGGTAATCCTGCAAAATATAAGTAAGTACCACCATTTGCTGGCGCTCGCCTAATGAACTGAACATTTCTATATGTAGTTGCCATTTCCTCTGTGTATTGGCCAGGGTCCTTCGGGTCTGTTTCGGGCCATTTATGGCATTCATCTGGTAATCAATGTAATAATTGCAAAATTCCTTGATTGCCGTGCTGTTGCACTTTGCTCCTGGCCAAGCTTTAATTATGTGGAGCCCTCCACTAATGAGCAGCTCAGCACGTGGACTGGTCCCAAACTGGAGATGGAACCTAATTAGTTGGTTGGTTGGCTGGTTGGTTGGCTGGTTGGTTTGTTTGGTTGCTAGGTAGAGTCTCTCGGACGTAAGCCGTTGATGAGGTTTAATGATGCTGAAGCGAAAGCTAAAGGTTAACGAATGGCAAACGATTGGCCATTAAGGCAGGAGCAAGAAATAATGTCTGATCATTGGCAGTTGGCTCCACTTCAGTTTACCCCACCTGCAGTCCCACAAGTACTATTATCCGTATCACACTTAACTCCCATGGGAACGTGGGTACCCAGTACATATGTAAATCCTATGGGAGATCCTATTGCATAACTTGTCACAGATTCGTTGGCAATCTGAACAAACGCCTCCCTGCTTATGCTAATGTCTTTCTCTTGTCCCGAGGCCAGAGCCAGACAGATAACCGCAGACACAAATTGTTCCTGTGGCAGCACCTTCAGCAGGGCGCGAATCTGACGCTCACACATTCCATGACTGCACAACAAAAGGTCAGATGTCAAACAGGAAATATGCGAAGTATGGGAAACGACCTACGAGGAGGCGCGGGAAGCCAGCAGCGAGAGTGTGTCCTGGCCCTAAAGTGTAGGTGGGAAGTAGAGTGAAGGGTGGACTGTAGATTGTGGCTTCCAGAGACAACCGAAGGCCCAAACAAGAAACCTAATTGAATTTATGCTAATTAGCCAACCGTGACTGGGGCATACAGTGTTAATTATGGGAGCCAAAGCATACGGGGCGGGGCGTATGTGCAATGCCACACTGAAATTCTAATCAATTGTTGGCCACATTTGCATATAATGGCCATGAAGTCTGCCTCGAGACAGCAAGGGCAGCCAACTGGAGAACACACAGCCAAACACACATTTTACCAATCAAAAATCGATGAAATCGATGGATAAGTACCTATCATAGCCGCTTCACTTTTAATTAAATAAAAACCCATCGAATTTACAGCTGATTGATTCCTCGACCGGAGTACAATCATGTCCTGCACTTCTTGTTTTGCAGTTCTGGGAGCCATCCACTCAATCCATATGGGCATGTGCCCGTTGCGAGCCATCCCCCGCGATGAGAACCCTTCAATCATTTTTGTTTCATGATTTATTCATCTAGACACTCGAAATATATTTTTTTCAACCGGTTGGATCTGCAGCAGCCGCAACATTTTAATGGCATTTTTAGCAAGCGATGTGCGGTCCCGGAATAGCCCATTAAGTTGCTCCTCATCTGAGTGGGTTGAGCTGGAGCAAGGAAGGCTTGGGAGCGGGAACAGATGCAAATTCCATGGCTGCTGTGTTCATGTTTTTTTTTTTTTTTTGTTGTGACTTACTTTGGCAATGCTGCTTAAAGAGCCTCGTTCACCTTTAATTGAAAGAGCATTTTTTATGTATGTAGAACACCACCAAAGTGTTCGCTGTGGAAGCCTATGAAAATGAATGAATATGGTTGGAGTGAAGACTTTTAAGGTGCGCCCCAGGTGCGCTTGGAAAATTCACAGAGAAGGTTCTGAAAACTTTTGGGAAAGCTAAGAAAGAATTCAGCGTGAAAAAATAACAGATATCTCAAAGGAATTGCTTGTTGCAATCATACATATTCATATTCTTAAATTGGTTTTCATATTTCAACAGCATTGGCAATGGTCAGTCAAGTTTCTATCCGCCCCACACTTTCAGCAACCCCAAATACGGGCCTAGCACAACCCACTCCCCACAATTACCCAACAATTATATTCGCCTCAAGGAACAACAGAGGCCTATGTTAAGATCCTGTGAACAATGGGATTGGAGCGTAACAGTAATTTGAAATGCGCTCAAAGTCGATGCGCCGACTCTCTCAATGTTGAGTCAACAACCTTATGTCATGACGGGCCACTCACTGGTAATCCAGAAACCCAAAGACCTAGAAAGAAAAGCTGCAAATTAAAGCACCAAAAGCTTGAAAAAGCTTGGAAAATACTGGGAAATTGGAACACATAGAGCAAGATAACTATTAAAATCAAATCAAAATTAAAATGGTTTCATAAAGATAAACAGCTCGATATTATATTTACTTTAACTTTGATTTTTGTGCATTGATTGCATAGTTACTTAACATTCCATTAAATATATACACATAAACTGATTTAAACAACCTTAAGCTTGCCGTAGTTACATTAAATGATACTAAAACAATTAATTTTAGCCTAACAGATAGAGAGAGTGTATCCGTCTACCCTGTCTCAGTGCAAATCGGAGTCATCCGAGGGAACTGGCTTCCGAGACAGATACAACACAACGGTGGTAGTTAGGGCGCTGACCAGGAATATGACATCGAACCAACGATGATAGAAATTAAAGTGTAGATTGCCGAGCACCTCGGTGATGATCACGCGATACTCGGCTGGCATATTCATGCGCATCAACAGCACCGAGGAACAGAAATACATGCCCATGATCTGACCCAAGATCAGCACGATGATATTGCTGGACTTACTCGATGAAATGCGATAAAAGAACTGCAAAACAGCAAACGTTTGAGTCAGAAAAAACAGCATTTGTCTTTTATCACCTACCTTAGTGAGGGTCAGCAACAGACCACGTATGGAAGTGACCACGATGCAGCCAACCAGCCAAAACGAAATATGCTGGTTCCAAAAGGCAAAGTCTATGTCAAAGCCACACCAATGGATGGCAATCTCCAGGCCACGAGTTACAGGATCTTTGCGGCCCACTCTGTCGAATATGATGTTGATGCAACACTATTTACGATAGACATATATAAACAATTAAACAGAAATGAGAAACCATGTTGTAGTCAGCCTACCATAAATATCTTATAGACGCAGTAGACACTGAAAAAGTGTCCAATCACATTAAAGTACTTTCCCTTCAGCGTTTCCGACCAACGCTGACGCTCTTCCATGTTTTTCAGCGAATTCAGCTCCAGGAAGACGGAGCGCTGTAGCTCCTCCAAGCCGTAGACTTCTTGCTTCAGTTGATTGATGTCTGGAAGTCACCAACGAAATGAATTTAACTGCAGATTGATGGTCAACGCATTCCCACCTTCACCGCTATTTGTGCGGTGCACTGCCGATGTTATCATTTCCCAGATTCTCGGCTTTGTGGTATGCTGCTTATTATAGTTATACGCAGCCATGGCAATGCGTCGCTTCTTGCCCGTCAGCATATCCACCGTCAAGGCCAATCGGCGCTCGAAACAGATGATGTCATTACGTGAAACGGGCCTGGCAAATAAATGATATAAAAAGGATCTCACAATGATAGGAAACGATTTAAAGCAGTCAATATTACTTGATAAAATAAGTCATGCTGGTGTACGGATAGTTCACGGCACCAAAGCCAGAGAGTATGGCCATTACGGTGACACCAATGACACTGATACGGGAAACGCCCTGCTCAATTGTAAAAATGCCGTGGGAGGCACTAAGCAGTGGAAATGGTTCACCAATACGCCAGAGGCCATAGAGAAAGACAAACCAACAGATAGTCGTCAAGATTCTCACCAATTTGTCGGAAACTAAGAAATAATTCAAATTAAAGCGAATACTATATGTATTTGGGGGAATGGTAGGCAACTTACAGAAGGAAATGCTGTGTATCACAGAGTGGCAGATATAGATCGGTATCACAGCAGTAACCATAAACAGTAGTAATGTGAGACCCAAGCGCCAATGGAAGTACCGTGAACTGGACTCTAGAACGCCGATGATCTCGAATATAATCAACTCAAACATGGTCACCGACAGGGCGAAGGTGGATGAGAAGATCAGCTGAACGGATATGTGACGTATTTCATAGTGCTTAAAGAGTTCCTTGTTGAAAAACATCCATCCCCCGGCAAAAAACAGCATCTGCAAATAAAAACAATTGAAATTCCATTTGCTGAGATGATCTCCCGCCACTTGCCTGCGACACAAATACAATCACACAGTCGCCCAGGAATGCCATTTTTAGCCCTCAGTCTCCTCTCAGCTCAGATATAATAGTTATTTCTCAGGTGGCCCAGCCAGTGGCATTGCTTCGTTGGAATTTCGCTCTAAGAATATGAAAATGCCAACAAGCCGAAATATAAACAAAAGGTGCCGTATGCCTCCGATAGGAATACATCGATAGGCGTTGAAAAGTAGCAACTTTGGTCAACAGTGATACCAGGTGCAGCTGTGAACAGATGTTCGGAGCAATAAGCTAGTAATATTATTTAAATAGTGCACTAATATTTATATTCCCGCCATAATCATAAACTGCCAAAGCGCAGTCTTTAATGGAAGTCGTGAATAACAAATTCACGCAGTGACAGCGACAGCTATCGCTCATCTTTAATCGATAACAGTAAACAGCTGTTCACTTGACTACAATTGCAATAAATTAGAAAATTGCTTTTATTATTAGACAACCATTGAACACAATCCCGTTTGAATGCATGTTTAGCTTATAAATACGTGTTTAATGCGTCAAACATCTGTGAGGGAAGGGAAAGGACAGCGATGGCTTGCTATTACCGCCAGAACGAGGAGACGTCGGTGACAATACCAAAATACACGAGTGAAACCTCCAGCGGCGGGGTCACCTACTATGACATCAAAGTGCGTGTGGCAAAGGTGGAATGGATGGTGGAACGGCGCTATCGAGACTTTGCCCAACTGCATGACAAACTGGTGGAAGAGATAGCAATCAGCAAAAAGTTGTTGCCCCCAAAAAAGGTACGCCCCTTAACGCAAAACATACTCGTACATGAAACTCTATTCATTTGTGGATCTCTGTTGCAGCTTGTGGGTAATAAGCAGCCAGCCTTTCTGGAGCAGCGTCGGGAACAACTGGAGGCCTACTTGCAGGAGCTGCTCATCTATTTCCGCACGGAATTACCGCGTGCTCTGTCCGAGTTCCTGGATTTTAACAAATACGACATAATCTATCTGCTGCAGGATCTTGCCAAGCTCTTCAACGAAAGCGGCGATGCTCTGCTGAGCTCCAAAAAGGAATACAACCTGTCGGCATTGGAGGTGAGAAAACTGTCTGTATTTATTATATTCCTACATTATGTTTCAGTGTTAATTCCCAGTTTAAATCCAACACACTGAAATGTCCAAATTTTTGTTAACTTTTGTAGTCAAGAGCTGCCCTTTGCAGCTGCAAAAACTGGGCAATAGCTGTGCCCTCATTCGAGGTGCCAAGTACTCCCTTGGCACTATCAATAGTCGCTATACAAACTTCTCTTCCGAGTTGGAAAATACTCTGCAGTCGGAGAAAAATTATGAGAGCATCAAAAAACTCTCCAAGTATGCCACCCGCCACGTAAAATGGGAACGCCAACGGGACCAGTCAGATCTGCAATATTTTAACTATTTGTTGCTGGATCCTCGCGTAACAAACAAGCTGGCCAGTCGGGCCTCAGGAATGCACTGCATTGATATCTGGTTTACTTTTCTAAGGGCCATTTTCTATGTGGGCAAAGGCAAGGGTATCCGCCCATATATCCACTTTGTGCAAGCCGAGAAACTGCTTGGCAAGCCGGACAACATCAAGCAGGCCAAAGATCCGAAACTAGCGTTAATGTTGTCAATTTGGGAGCATAAACGCGGTATCTTGCTGCTGCGTGGCTTCCGGGGCATCTCCTCCGAAGATGCACAGACTCGCGAGGCCTCCATGATCAGTGCACTGAGCATGAATCATTTGACCAATCGACGAAAGGGTGTTTACTTCGGTCCGGCCAAGGAAAAGTTTACACCTACGCAGAGGAAGCTGCTGGGAATCGCATTGCTCCATAAGCTAATGGGTCAATTCATTGCGAAAGAAGAGCGAGAAATTTATCCTCAGATATCTGTGGACAAGGCTGCAAAGGCGGCCTAATATGCACACATTAATTATTAAGATAAACTATTTATATTAATAATATCTACTTTATGTATATGCAGGTCTTTGCCATTAGCGAGCGCCTGAGTCTTCCCTGCCCGCCAAATGTGGATCGTGGCGGAAAATATGACTTCTCGCACGTCCTAGACTTCTGCACACAACTCGTGGCATTGGTAGTGACGCCAGTGAAGGATAATGCCAGCTATGAGCAGGACTACAACACAGTGGACGTGCCCATTGGACGTAGCAATATCATCCCGAACAGGCTAAACTTTAATCTGAATGCATTTCGAAATCTCAAAACACTCAAATTCTCGGCCCTGTCAACGGAGAACATCGTGGATATTGAGCTTCTGAAGCCAACGTTGCAGACAATCTGTGTTCACAACACAACTATACAAAGCATAAGCCAGGTGCTGCTCTGCGACAACTTGCACAAGCACTGCGATGTTCCGAGCCTCCTGCCTGAGGCCATCAGTCCATCCTCTGCAACAAACGGCAGTGTCCTAATCAGCACAGAAGCGTGGCAGGAGCTAACCGAACTGGATCTAACTGGCAATCTGCTCACCCAAATTGATGGCAGTGTGCGGACAGCTCCAAAACTGCGTCGCCTCGTGCTCGAGCAGAATCGCATACGGGCTGTACAAAATCTGGCCGAGCTTCCCCATCTGCAGCTGCTGTCTCTGTCAGGAAATCTTATAGCCGAGTGCGTGGACTGGCATCTGACGATGGGAAATCTTGTCACACTGAAGCTGGCCCAAAACAAGCTAAAATCTTTGAATGGCCTGCGGAAGCTGCTTTCATTGGTGAATCTGGACTTGAGCTGTAATCAGATTGAAGAGCTCGATGAGGTTGATTATGTGGCTAATCTTCCACTGCTGGAGGCCCTTAGACTCACTGGCAATCCCCTGGCGGGCAGTGTGGGTAAGTTCACCAATTGATTTACTCCTTTTTTCTCTCCCATTTAAATTGTAACTTCTCTGTAGACTATCGGCCTCGTGTTTTGGCTCGTTTCCATGAGCGCGCCGTTGAGATTTCTTTGGACAATGAGCGGGGCAGTCAGCAAGAGTTGGACACGGCCCTAGTGCTCTCCGCACTGCTGCAATCAAAGCAACGACAACGCCAGAAATGATATTCGCATAAGGTATTCGGCTCAATTCTAGAATTCCACCAATCTCTCCATGCGCGAAAGTATTCCAACCGTCTAAAATTTATTATTTATAGTCTTAGAGCGAGCCCCGATTTAATTCCGTGTCTCTGTAATGTTTCTTGTAATGTTTTAACTGTCTCGTCTATTTCCGATGTGCAATATTTGAACCATCACCTAAAAATTTAATTTGTATATCTTAATAAAATTTATACTTGTAGGACAACGAAGGATAAGAGAGTTTGTCCCTAGCACATTACGTTCCCAATTATTAAAGGCCACCCTCCCGCTTTGGAGACCATTTCGTAACAAGGGAATTATTCACACTATGTTCATCAGTGATAAAACTAATCAAGGCTGATTATATTTAATGAAACCAATTATTCGCTGCCTTAAAAGCCTGAACTCAGTGCTGCAAGGAATCACAACAGTCCCACTTCGCAATGTGCACAGTGCTTATTATTTTGGTTCTGCTCTGCACTTCCGCCCGGCTGGAGACCGTCGAAGGCGTCCACAACATGAGTCTGGTGAGGTCCGTTCTGGACGTCATCGCTAGCCGGGAGCATTGGAAAAATACGCTAATCTTCTTGGGACACAGGACAAAACGGGATGATATCAACAGTATGATAATTTGGCTCCATCGAACCATGGAAGTCACAAGCCACATGGTGGATACGACCGTTTCGTCGCGCAAGCAGAAACCCCTTGGCCGTTACAACATGAGAGCGGACAATGCCGTCACTCTGTTCTTCTGCCACACCACCCAGGAACTAATTTGGTACCATCTAAACAGGAGTCTTCGAAGGTTGCGTCCTGCTCGACTGATTGTCGTCCTGCCCAATGAACGAAGTGGTTCCTACAAAGCATTGAAGGCCATATTCCAGAAGCTCTGGCACCACCAGTTTCTCAATGTTCTGGTTGTGCATAAGGATCGTATCTACTCCTATACTCCTTATCCGAGAGTGCGCTTCTACAAAGTGGATATCCACTCGTACCCACTGTTTCCCCCGGCTACAAAGGACTTCCAGGGTTATGTTGTGTCCACGCCAGCGGAGAACGATGTTCCGCGTGTGTTTCTTATCCGTGACCAACGGACAGGGCGACAACTGATACGAGGCTATGGCTATCGGACCTTCATTGAGTACCTGCACCGCCACAATGCTACACTGCAGGTGACCAATCCGAACCAGGATCTCGGCCCAACAAGTAATGTCAATATGAGCCGAATAATCCAGCTGATAATGGAGAACCGATTGGAGATCTCCTTGCACCCGTATGTGGATGTTCCAGAGAAAATGGGCGACTATAGCTATCCCCTGGTTGTCGCAAGGAATTGTCTGATTGTGCCCGTGAGGAACGAGATTCCGCGTCACATGTACCTACTGCTGCCCCTCAACCGATGGAGTTGGCTGCTACTGCTTGGCGGAGTGTTCTACATCAGCGGCGTACTTTACTGGATCAATCCCGGGCACGAACATAGCAGCTGGAATGAACGCGTTGGCCTGAACTTACTGGATGGTCTCAGCCGGATACTTTTCATCTGTTCCCCCACAATTGTGCACAGGCCGTCTCTTCGCTACGTTATAGTCTCGTTGCAGCTGACGATCTTCGGATTTGTTCTGACCAGCTGGTACAACATTCAATTGGACAGCTTCCTAACGGCATTGGTCGTGGGTAAGCAAGTGGAGAGCATAGAGGATCTGATCGATCAGCAACAAAAGGTTTTGGTGAAGCACTACGAAGCTAGCACTCTCCTACGCCACGTCAAGCCCCATCTCATCAACGGAGTGTCCCGCCTGCTGGTGGGCGTTAATTCTAGTGAACAGGTCTCGGCCCTGCTCAGCTTCAATCGCAGCTACGCGTATCCGTTCACCGTGGAGCGGTGGGAGTTCTTTTCGTTGCAACAGCAGTATGCCTTCAAGCCGATCTTTCAATTCTCCTCGGCTTGTCTGGGATCGCCCATTATAGGCTTTCCGATGCGCAGTGACTGCCATCTGGAGTCATCTCTGAGCATATTCATTATGAGAATTCAGGCCACGGGGCTTCTGCAGCACTGGTTTGTCTCCGACTTCAACGATGCGATGCGGGCTGGCTATGTGCGCCTGCTGGACAATGTCCTCGGATTTAAAGCCCTGACTGTCGACACTTTGCGACTTGGTTGGTATGTCCTCGGCGGCGGTTGGCTAATCTCTGTCTTGGTTTTCACATTCGAACACTTTAAGCTGAACACGGGCCGTTCATTCTAAGCCATAGCAATAGCCATACATATACCCCAGATTTGTGTGTTGCATTGCAAGGTGCTCTTCTGAAAAATTCGGAACTTCTCTTTAATCCGTTTCTTTTGTTAATTTTCACAGTTGTAAAGGTTATCGTCTACTATTTGTATTGCTTTTACTGCAGCAGCAGTACCTTGATTGCACCACTTAAACTAATTACCAAACGAGAATAAAAGTATAAGTGGGTTCGCACACAGCTCATTAAGGAGATTATTTGAACGACTTAATTCGTAAATTGTTTACCACAATGGAAAGGCACATTCTAAGGTGGATATACTTTTATTAATAGTTCCATTTCTTTGTTTAATTAACAAATTATTATTTTTCTTATATCCATATTGTATGTCAAGTTCTAGTTACTTCAACTATGTAAGATACGAGTTGATCGAATTGCAGAGGAATGCGTACTCTGGGTCATGTTTCCTTCAAGCAATTGAGATTATTTCCAGTATGTGTTATTTTTACTGCCGAACTAGATGCTACAACACTTACAGCCCTTCCCCAAAATTTCTCAACTGGGTGTCTTTATAGTAATATTCTTCGCGATACGATACGAAAGGGCCTACTGTTTGAATATCTTAAACGGTTTGATGATCAAAAATCAAATGGGAAATACGATTTTTAAATTACTATGTCTAGTAATTCTGCCAATGAAGTGTATAGTCGCGTGATTTTAGCTTGCCGGGTGGCCTATATCATTGGGGATGATGGTGCTGCTGGGCGTGGTAGTGCTGCTGCTCGGCAGCGGCCACTGCATCGAACATGGGCGTGTGCACCTCGCCCAGAAACTGGGGTGTGGGCGGAGCGTTGGGCTCGGAAAGCTCCCCGATGAGTGGCATGTCAATGTCGGTGGATATGGCGCCTTGTCCATATCCCAGTCCATAGGACTGCTGCTGTTGCTGATGCTGCTGCTGTACCACGGACACTTGAGCGTAGTCGGTGGGTGCCTGTACCTGATGCTGGGGGTCTATCAGGACCGGGGCTGCCTCCATTTCCCCGAACTGAATTGGAGCAGGCAAACTCTGCTGCACGGGTAGAACGGAAACTGGTTCAGGGTCCACAGGCGCGGACAAGTAGTTCTGTTGAAGCTCTGTCTGTGGCTCTGGAAGGTCTTCCGGTTGTTCGGGCTGCTGGACCTCCAACTGCTGCAGCTGTTGCTCCCCTGGCGCCTGCAACATTTCGATGTGATCATCAGTGGCATCGTCCGCAGTCTCACTTATATCGGCACCCTCGCCGGACGTGTCCCCATCGCGTCGAACCAAACCCAACATGTCCAGCATATTGCGCTTGACGGCATTCTCATTGGCCGCCTCGAGACTGGCGTAGCAGGTGCTCAGGCCACAGTTGGCCAAATGCTGCGCCATCTTGTTGCCATTGCTGGTGGCGAAGCCGCAAATGCAGTGCATCTCCTGCGGCAGATTAACCTCCATGGCATCCACGAAGTTTCCATTGCAGTCCACGCCGTGCCGGAACTGGGCCCGCTCGCAGCATGTTTGATAATTGCACTTCACGCAGTGCAGCCACCCGCTGTAACGAAAGAGAAGGGTGAGAATAAATTCAATAAATTACTTCGAACTCCAAGGAACTCGCTCTGATTTGTATCAGCTGAATTAGCTTGCTGATGAAAGCCAAAATGCATAATTGATGGGAGAGCCTTCAGCTGAGCTAGGCGGCAATTTGCGCACTTGCACTGGTACATTGTGTTCAGATAGTGTGCCCCAAGCGAGCCCTAAGGCCTGATTATATTTAATTAATACAATTATTTACAGCCTTATAAAACTGATGCTCAGGCACACCCAAAAGTCACAACCTATTCAGCCATAATGTGTAAGGTGCTTCTAATATTTCTGCTCTTCAGTTGGTCGCAGCCAGCGCTTGTCCGAGGTGCTCACAACATGACCTTGGTGAGGTATGTTCTAAGCATCATCGCTAGCCGGGAACCCTGGACTAATACACCGATCTTCCTGGGACACAACACGAACGGAGACGATATCCGTGGGCTGATTAACTGGCTTCATCGAACCATGGAAGTCACCAGTCACACGGTGGATTTGTCTACGCCTGCTCTAAAACAGAAGCCCCTTGGTCAGTATAACATTAACGCAGATAATGCCATTAGTTTGCTGTTCTGCCACAGCAGCCAGGATCTGATCTGGAAAGCAGTGAATAAAAGTCTGCAAAAGATGCGTCGAGGTCGATTGATTGTTGCCTTACGCTCAAAAAGAAGTGGCTCGTACAAAGCGATGCACTCCATATTCCAGAAGCTCTGGCACCACCAGTTTCTCAACGTTCTGGTGCTGCATAAGGATAGTATCTATTCCTATACTCCATATCCGGCTGTGCGCTTCTATCGCTTGAATATCACTTCGATTCCGCTCTTTCCACCAACTACGAGGAACTTCCAAGGCTATGTTGTTTCCACTCCAGTGGAGAATGATATTCCGCGAGTGTTTATTGTGCAGGATCCCCACTCAGGACGGAGACAGATACGAGGCTACGCCTATCGCATCTTTGTCGAGTACTTGGATCGCCACAATGCCACTCTGCAGATTACCAATCCTCACGAGAATCATGGCCCCACAAGTAGTGTCAATATGAGCCGAATAGTTCAGCTCATAATGGAGAACAAATTGGAGATCTCCTTGCATCCGTACATCCACCGAGATTTTGGGGACAGAAGCTATCCATTGATAGTCACGCAAAACTGTCTGATTGTGCCCGTGAGGAACGAGATTCCGCGTCACATGTACCTACTGCTGCCCCTCAACCGATGGAGTTGGCTGCTACTGCTTGGCGGAGTGTTCTACATTAGCGTTGTGGTTTACTGGACTCGTCCCGATATGGGCAGGAGGACCTGGCAACATCGTCTTGGGTTAAGCTTTCTGGATGCCATCAGCCGGCTACTGTACATCTCTCCACCTCTAAGGATAGACCATCCTTCTCTGCGATACTTGATAGTTTTCCTACAGCTGACCATTTTGGGATTTATATTGACCAACTGGTACAACATTCAGCTGGATAGCTTCCTCACCGCATTGGTTGTGGGTGAGCAAGTGGACTCATGGGATCAGCTTGTTGAACAACAGCAGAGAGTTTTAGTCAAGGAGTACGAGGTCGAGACAGTTCTGCGTCATGTACAGCCGCGTCTGGCCAGTAGGGTCGCCCGCCTGATAGTGGGCGTGAATGCCAGTGAACAGGTCTCGGCGCTGCTTAGCTTCAACCGCAGCTACGCGTATCCATTCACCTCGGAGCGCTGGGATTTTATCGCCATGCAACAGCAGTATGCCTTGAAGCCGATCTTTCGATTCTCCTCGGCTTGTCTGGGATCGCCCATTATAGGTTTTCCGATGCGCAGTGACTGCCATCTGGAGTCATCTCTGAGCATATTCATTATGCGAATTCAGGCCACGGGGCTACTGCATCACTGGCTTGTCTCCGACTTCAACGATGCGATGCGGGCTGGCTATGTGCGCCTGCTGGACAATGTCCTCGCATTTAAAGCCCTGACTGTCGACACTTTGCGTCTTGGTTGGTATGTCCTAGGCTTTGGCTGGCTAATTTCTGTCTTGGCTTTCACTTGCGAACACTTGCGGTTGTACCGAGCCCATACAGCCATACGTTGATAAATGGAATAAATTAGATGAAACGAATTTGGTAGATACGTACGTGTAATGTGTCTCCTCGCTGGCATAATCGGTGTTGCACTCGGCACAGGTCTTGCCCTCGAGGAAGGCAAAGAACACCGGTCGCTTGTAGGTGGAGAAGGGAGCCGGCTCCTTGTGATGGGTGCGCACCTTCGGTGGTGGAATCAGCAGCGAAGTGTTGAGCAACAGACGGACGGGCTTGTTGGTCTTGGTCATGCTGACATGATGCTGAACCGAATGCTGCTTCAGATCGCCCTTCTCCAGGAAGCTGAGCGAGCACTTCTGACAGCGCAACGATGGCTCCCGCTTGTTGACGTGATCGTTCAAGTGCAGGAAGTAGTTTTCGATGCGCAACTGGTTGACAGAGCCGCGAAGGGAAAAGTAGAATATCTGAAAGGAGTGAGAGCTATAAAATATTCCATTTAACTGGCTATTAGCGAGAGCAACTTACGTCCAGGCAGTAAGGACACTGCAGGAAGTTCTGGTTCTTGTGGTCATCGTAGAAATGCCTGACCAGATCGCGATGTGACGACGATCGGTAGCCGCAGGACTGGCACCCATAGGGCAGCTCTAGGGTGCTGTGGACCCTCTGTAGATGGGCAGTTAGCAAATGCAGAGAATTGTGCCGCTGCTGACAAATGAGGCAATAGTAGGAGGGTGAACCCTCCGTCTTGGTCTCGGTTGGATGCATGATCTGGTTGTGTTTGGCCAGCACCGACTCCGTGGGATGTTTCTCCAGGCAAAACAGGCACTGGAACTGATGCTGCTTGCCCTCTGGCGAGATGTGCGACACCAAATGCGTTTGTAGCTTCTCATTGGAGTCAAAGGATTCGCTCAGGCAAATTGGGCAGTCCACTGTCTTGGTAAGCTGATCGGGATTAGCCCTGGGCGAGTTGTATGGAAATTGTTCAAAGTATTCATCCGATCCATCGCTTATGCCATAGTACAGCTCCTCCAGTCCCTTGAGGTCGTCCTCCTCTTTCTTGACCACCACGGGGGTTTTCTCTTCTTTTTCCTTAGGCTTCTTGGCCAATGATTTGGTCACCGTGGCTGAAGGTGCGGCTGGCTTTGCGGACGTGTGTTTGGCTGAGGCCTTGCCTGGTGGTCTTCCCGGTCCCTTCGTAGCTGGTGGAGGCGGTGGCGGTGTGTTCACCGCACGTCTCTTGGTGCCAGCTGGCAGTATCTCCTTCTCAATATCCTTCTCTTTTTTTTCCTTCTTCGGCGTCTTGGTGGAGCTGGTATAATCTGCATCGTTAATCGCTGCGCACAGATAAAGGGTAAGGGTAAATTATCATAGTGGATCAAACTCCGGCAACTTTCAAATATCACATAAAACTTAGCTCATGGCTGGAGCCACATTATAAAAAATACTGTATGCGGTTTATCACTCCAAATCATAAATAAATCAAATAAAAACATAGTTTTACCAAGGCTTTCCATTTCTTAAGTATTTGGGCAATTTTATTTAGTTTAGTTTTCGTTTAGTTCACTGTAGTTTAAAATAAGTTAACATGAAAGATGCCAGAAAGTAAAACTATCTATGTGTTGGGTTTTATGCGAGTATCAAGATCAAACACTTGGTGTTCTCCTATACAAACTCTTCCTGAGCTCAACACTGGGCGAGAATAATTAAATAAATCAAAAAAGGGGGAAAACACTAGACTTTGGCGCAGTGGTCGGCTCACCAATACAATAACATTTTTCCGTTTGGTTGTGTGGGACAACAGACAATGGAAAAAGGTTATTGAATATATTGAATAGCGGCAGGGTAGCAGCACGAGATAGGGTCATGCCAATGACCACTGCTTTGGAGTGACAAACGCATTAGCTTAAAATTATTCTATTAACGGCCTTGTATTAATGTCAAGCCGATTGAACACTACGAAACTACTAACGTTTCTTGAGGCGCTTGGGTGCCGCATTGGCCGGTGTCTCCTTGTAGTTGGCCGGCAGCACGCTCCAGTCTTTGAAAGGGTTAGTTGCCACCTAAATAGAACAAGAGATGGATCATAAATGTGTTAGTGCCATTCAATGTTGCCACTTTGCTTACCTGATACAGGCGTTGGGTGATTGTCTCGGTGGTGGTAACTCTCGTCTGCTCGGCAATGTGTATTATTATGTTATTGAAGGCCTGCAGAGCATACGTGCCAAAAGATTCACGCCAGACAAGCTCGTCCAGGAATTGCTGAATCATCTGACGCGACAGCAGGGACAATGTGTTCTGGAACATGCGAGGAACTATTCTGCGCAAATACTCCATCACCGCCGAGTTATTGTGCTTGGCCGTGTTGTCTGTGGCCGCTGCCTGGACAATATTCTTGAATCCCAAGCTGAACAGGGTGATCTTGTCCACCGTCAGGTCAATGCAAATGGTGCTGTCCTTGTGGACCCAACGCGAAAGCGGCTCAAGTATGCCCTGAAAGCGTTTCTTGTAATTACGATCGCCATCAATAATCGGCTCCACTGCGCGCAAACGGATTGATTTCTCTGCATAATCATAGACACCTAGCACTTCGACCTTAACCTGTCGCTGAGCCCCATCTTGCGAGGTAGTTCCAAGTGAGATGACGCCCACCTGGAAAGAATAACATTAAACAGTAAGTGGATATACATACATCTGGGGACAAATTTTGTACATTACCTCCACAAACTTGCCGGGACCTCCCAGCTTCTTGCACTTCTGATGCACGGCCAAAGTGCAAATGGCTCTCAGCCAGGTGTAGATGCCCTTGATGTACACACTGTCCACCTTGACCCACTGGACCACATTCTGAATGCTGGTCTGGCAGGCCCAATGGTAGATTAGCTTCAGAAGGAATGTGGGCGGATGCGAAGCTCCCTCGAATATTGAATTATTGAAGACGGAAACAAAGCGATATGGACAGCAGTCACTGATCCACACATAGCCTCCGGTATACGGGAATTTCGATACATCCGAGTATATTCCTGTAGGATTCAAGGAGAATTGAAAGTGAGATAATTTATAATGTTGATGCATAGTTGTTCCGATTCTACATACCCAATTTCAGTTCGCTATTTCGATGATTAATGCAATGCTGCTGGGACCTGAGAAGACCCTCCTGGAGCAGCCACTCGCAAAACTTGTTCGGGGTCAGCATGAGAACCAGTTTGACCTTGGAGTCCAGTTTGCTGCGTGTTGCAGCCATATCTTTGATCTTAAGGAACGGCTTGGCCAGCACCACCAGCGAGGGATATGTTTTCCCCTGCATTTTGGAGTCCTTGCCATCCTTGGCGTCTTTAGGATCTTTACTCTCGTCAGTGCTGCCCACAACTAGACCTCCCACCGAGTTGACCTCAGCTGGGCGATAGTTTTTAGGAGGAGATTCACCATCTTTGTTGGAGTCTTTTGTAGATTTGCCACTGGAGCTACTTTTGCTGCCCTTCGGTTGGGGCGAAGCTTTGCCTGGGGATGACGCAGCGGCGGCTGCTGCTTTTTTGCCAAGCTTGGGAGATGTTCCAGCAGCCGCTGCTTTTTTACCCGCGGACAGGGCTAATCTCTTGGCCAACGGAACATCGTCATCGCCGTCGTCGGATGACTCCAAATAAGCAATATTTGAAGACTGTTTTGGTCGTCCACGTCCTCTTCCAGTGGAGCCAGTGACCGGTGTGGTAGGCTGCGGTGGTTCGACCGGCTTCGGCGGCTTCTTAGGTAATGTTGCCTCTTTCAGCTCCTGCAGGACCTTTCCCTTAAACGAATAAGCCTGAAACACTTGGCCATTGAACAGTTCCTTTCCTTCATTCGCGCTCACGGCGCTCTTGAGTGCATTTTTTACAGCATAATGCTCGTTGGTTATTTTGTCGTAGTACGCCAACTGCGCCTCCGACAATTCCTCCACCCAGACTTCCATATCGAGTGAAATATCACTTTTCGTTACACGCGTCATCTTGGGGAATTACTAGCCCGACCACTGGCCAATATATGGCGTTTTTTAAATCAATTTTATTAGAAAAGAAATTATTTTCTGTATTCGATTAGGTTTTTTCGTCGTGGGTGTACCTGCGGCGTTGTTGTCAGTGTGACCGCGTATTTATCGACAAAATATACCGTCTGACCCTCAAAAATATACCGAGAAGAATAAAATCGATTCTCACTTATCGGTAGTAAACATGGTTGTATTTTAAGCATTTCATCGAATTTTCAAATTTGATTTTAACGAATCATGATTATGATCTGACCACCATTTAAACCATAACAAACTGCTGTTTGATTATGTCACGAAGAAATATCGCCTGTTTATATTGCATTTATGACCCCTTATCATGTATCACCTCATCAGTAGTTAAGCCCAGTGATTAAATTGGCAGGTGTGGGAACTGGTTTTGTTGTTTTGGAATCCACTTGTAATTATCACAATCTTAAGTTTTATTTGCAACACATGCTTACGCATTCTTCATATCATTGAGCACGCGGTCATAAAGTATCTCCTTGACATTCAGGCCCCACAGGAAGTCCAAATGATTCCATTTAGTTTCGGGTAGGCGATACGCGCTCTTCAGGGAATTCGGATCCATTACGTAGCGAAGACGATCGACATCGATTAAACTGGCAAAGTAGTCATTGTCGCTGTAGTAAAGGTATGTGGGAACGTTGATGCCCTCCACATCGTAGTCAGGGGCAGCCGAGGAGCCGTACTCCTTCTTGTTGCGGATCGAGCCATAGTCGAACTGTCGGAAATGGCCCGAGTTGTACTCTTGCAGATAGTGGAAGATCTGGTTCACCGAACAGCCTGCCGGCGTGGTGGCCATAATTTCTGGGATCATGGTCGCGTTCAGATATGGTGAGTCCCAGCCGCCCATCAGGAACAGGCTATTCGTGCAGATCACCTGGGATATAGCCTGATCGCTGCACAGAACACTGCCCAACAAATTCATGAGTTGGCTGTTTGGCAAAAACTCCGCACTGCCGAACAACTCAACAAAGGCGTTTGGTTGTCCCAGCAGGGGGCCTCCAACGGTGGCCAGGGGACTCTCCATGTGCTCCATCCAGGCGACGGGCGCCAGCAGATGAGCCGAGCGTATACGATTCTTGAAACGCGGAATCATCGAGTTGAGCACGAAGTATGAAGTCGTGCCCTGGGAGTGACCCACGTACGAAACTTGATCCGCACCCGTGTGGTACAGGACGTAGTCTATCATGGCGGGCAGATCGTAGATTCCAATATCATGCCACTCGAAGTTCCAGAAGGGCTGCAGCAGCGGCGTTTTGGTTGCATGTTTCTTGGAGTAGGTGTTGCCACGAGCATTGCCCATCCAGACATCGTAGCCAGCCTCAGACAGCAGGTAAGCCAGTCCACTGTGTGTACCGCCCAAGACCCAGTCAGAGGACGAGCAGAGCAGACCGTGCATGAGGAAGACAACAGGACGAACGCCATCATAGCCGGTGTTCTTGGAGTATGGAATCCGGTGCATGGTCAGGATATAGCCATCCGATGTCTGAACTGTATGCTCCTGAATCTCATAGCCTTGTCCTTTCACTAGCGTCAACTGCATAGCCCAAGTAACCATATTTAAGAGAAATACATTAAAAATAAAACAAGTGATTCGTTCTTACCGTTGTCACAGAGCTCGCCCGCCCCCCATCGGCTGGCAAGGCTGTGGTCAGGCCTAGACAAAGAAGACCCACAATAATTTGGGGCACCAGCATTTTTGATCACGGGTGCAGGTAATTTAATGACTGGTGTGGCCCTCTCCTGCCTTTTATATACCCCCAATGGAACATCTGATAAGGAGCGGTAGATTTCGGTGCGCAAATTTACGGCAGCCTATTTTTGCACAGAAACTACGTTCAATTCATCTAGACTGATAGGTCTCGTTTGGAAAATACAGAAGCGATTTGCCAGAAGCGATAATACAGGGGGCTTTTAGTCACACGATAAGTGGTGCCTTCTATCATTCTCTGAATCTTGATAGCAACGCTACCACGCTTATGGCTACTTGTAATATGATTACATTATCAGCAACAACTGAGGTTTAACTAGGTTATTAAACTACAATAACTACTGGCCAATAATAGATTCAAAGGCGCTAGCTATCGCAGCCAAATATTTCATATTTCTTTATTGTGTGGCGTCCGCGCTCACAATTGAATTTCGATAAATTATTAAGGGGAGCAATTGATAGGACCATTCCTTACGGTATATTTTGAAAATGAGGAGGTATATTTCGGTATATTTCTGAGGGACACAGTTGCTCAATTTGCAGTGTGAATTTTTAGAAAAAAAAAAAACGAAAAGACAAAATGCGTGAACGGGAAAGACATGATAGAGACCGGGATAGGGAAAGAGAACGAGATAGGGAGAGAGATCGGGACCGCGACAAAGAACGCGAGCGACGCTACCACTCCAAGTCCCCCGCAAGCCGGACCAGCCGGCAAAGCTCCAAACCCAAAAAGAAGAAGGCTAAGAAATCTAAAAAGTACTACAGACGTAGTCGGAGCAGCAGCCGCAGCAGCAGCAGCTCGTCGGCACGCAGTCCAAGCAGCTCCCGCAGCCGGCACAGCAAGAGTCGCAGTCGGGACTATAACAAATCTCGCTCTGCCTCCCAAAGGACAAACAGAGCCCCTAGCTCGGAGAGCAATTCGCGTTCAACGCCTGTCAGTGGCAACGTCAAGGGCATCGATTTGCTGGATACCAAAGTGCAAAAGGCCTTGGAAAAGATAGACGAGGATACCTTCAAGCCGTCTGCTTTCTTCAGCACCAAAGATCGTGAGGCCCCAGAGAAGGTTATCATAGATCTGAAAAACGAAACGGTGACTGTGCCGAAGCCGGCGAACCCAGTCCAAACCGAAGATGTAATATTCCATCCCAACGTAAGTTGCATATTTCGGTTCTCACTCTTCTCTTCTCACAAATATGTATATTGCTCTTTCAGTTCCTTGGCAATCCGGACCTGAAGACAGAGAAATGGATTCGCAAACTTTACGTATACCGCCAAAAGTACATCCAGGAATAGTAGAATTTACAAACTGTATTTAAGAAACATAAAACTTATGCCTAGAATATATCGCTGCCTGTTCGTCGCGCACGCAGAAATGCCTCTGATGAAGTGAGTTGCTCGTCGGCCGATGGTTCCTTGGCACTGCCATCTGCCTGGAGGCTGCCCGCCTTAAAGTCTTCAATAATCTTCTTCGAATAGACGGCGTTGAACAAGTCCAGGCTGGTGAATTCTGATTGCACTACGTCCGGTGCTTTGTAGGACACATATGGCTTCAGTTTGCAGTCGGTCAGATCGGGCACAACAATGTCGGGAATCTTCTCGGGTACCTCCACAAATTTTCCATTAACCAAAACGCCCGTGTCGCGCACCCCCCGCTTGTCAATAGGCACCGGGGGATTGGCCATCGTCCTCTGGGCCTCCTTCACCACACGGGTTCCACGCTTGCCGTGCACGTTAAATTTGCGAAAGTTGCGCTTGCCATCCAGGACAGCAGTCGTGCAGATGGATCTCTGCGGGCACTTGAGTGCCACTGGCACTACTAGTTTAATACAATTTTGCATAGTTTTTTATTTATTTTATTCGGGAAAATTCAAGCTGGTTAAATAACAAGAGTGTGACCGCGGATTTATCCATAAAAATACCGAAAAGTATATAACATACCGGCGCTGCCAATCTGTTTAATGTTCAATTAAAACATGCTTTGAATCAGAAATTAGTGGAATATCATAAACAAAATAGATCATTAAAAATAGCACATTTTGTCCAGGACTTCCAGGATCCAGCCGTTACAATTTCGAATGTTTGACTCTCATCGCTGGTTGGTACCTACCTAATAGTTATTTACCATGCGTTCGCGTGCCAACACAGACCGGTCTCCACGGCCCCCACGTCCAATGATGACGCCATGGTATGTTAGGCAAAAGAGGTGGACTTTACGTTGCATGCGTTGCATTTTCTACGCCGTTTTGCCTGATGTCCACACCTCTTTTTGCTCAGCACTATTAGGAAATTTTATAAACTTGCTACGCGGGGCTAGTAGATGCGCGCGACTGCCAAAACTTTCAAACATTTAAAAAACGCCGGCGCGTGTGATACTAGACTGACAGTTTGCTGTACGTTTAATGGTCGAATAAATCGCATTTCTTATGAGAAAAAAGCCCGCCGCTGAACTTTACTTCCACCGTCGTGTGTGCGCCAAACGAATTCTGACAAAGTAAACAACTTTTTGTGAAATCAAAAATCAACCACCCACCATGTTGCCGCTGCAGGAGCAGCAGCAGCAGCAGCCGGAGCCACAACCCCACACCTTTAATTGGCAACTGGAGGATTACGCCTACTTTCGTAAATGTGGAGAACTTACCACATCGCCGGATGTGCAGAGCTTCGGCTTCAATTGCGCCTTCTGCCCTGCAATTTGCCTGCAGTTCTCCGTATTTATGGATCACGTTCGCGGCCAGCATATGCAGGACATGAGACGACGGTACGAGGACACCGCGGATAAAATCGAACAAACAACCCAAACAGATTTAATGATAATGGAAATGGACTGCCATGACATATTCCAACTGGAAGACCACGACCACCTCCAGACCACAACCAGCAAATGCACGAAGAAATCGAATTTGAATGGAATGGAGATGGAGACGGAAGCCACGACAGACACGCAACGCCTGGATGTGATAGACATGGACATTCAGCTTTTGAATATCGTTGCGGCGACCCCCACAATGCAGCTATCCCATGCAGTGGGAGCACCCGAAATAGATTTGGTTTATGTTATGGAAAATCCATTGCCACCCTCACCGCCGCCATCCGCGGACATTTTGGGTGATGAACAGACCTGCCTGCAACTGGATCCGTTTGAAGTGCTTCATGAAGTGGTGGGCATGGTCACGCCTACGCCGACGCCCTCACCTTTGGCTGCAAATGGGATTGGTGTTGTGGCTGGCGCTGTCGTTGGGGTCGCTCCACTTCCCCCGCCGCGATACGAGACACGACGCGTGGTAAGTTAATCGCTGATTCCTTCTGTACATTCGCTCACTCGCTTTTTCCCGCTCACCCGCTCTGCGTCATTTCGCTGTCCTCTCTTGCTACAGTACACTCTCTACCGTGAGCGCCCCAGCGAGTTGCTAGCTCTCACAATTACTGCAGCAGTTCGCGGCCGCGGTGATTCACTGTCGTTTCCCCTTTTTCTTTTTATTAGATTTTGTAATGCAAAAATGGTTTTCCGCCGCTGTCAAGAGGAAGGGCTGAAGGCAGTTCCGGAGGAAGCTTAACCTGGTCACTTGACCTTCAAAATAACGGCGCAATGGCACACAACAAGATATTGAGAAAAAGTGTGTCGCTTCTTCGCCCAGTCCGCGCTCTCTCTCTCGCTCCCTTGTGCTTCTCCTTTGTTTTTCTGTCTTCCCCTTTGAGTCCCGTTGCTATCCATGGCCCTATGTTTTGCCATTGTATTGGAGGGGTGCTGGTGGGAGAACAGAGGGAGAGAGAGACGTTTTGTCAGTTCGTCAGAGCCGTTGCTATTTTTATTGTTCCATTTGTATACCCTCGAATAGGGTATTATCATTTTGATCATAGCAGTAATTCTGTTTTGCTGTTTATATATCCCAACTACTGTTATTTACACATATTTACCATTATATTTTCTGCACACAGTACTATATAAGGGCTGTAGTAAGGTTGCAAGGGTATCAAAAGCTTCGGATCTCCAATTTTCACTCTTGTTTTTCTTCTCCCGTCAACGCGACGCAATTTTTCAGTTTCTTTTCATCTTCGGGTTTCCAATTTTGTTTTGTTTTTTTGTTTTTGTGAACATGGAAATTTCGAAGAGACACAACAATAACTTTTTTTTTGTATATATGTATGTATATTTCGCACATAGGATCTGTGCAATTTCTGGTGGTGTCAGAGGGGCATAAATATACTCAAATGTGGGACACAAACATTTCAGCATTTTGGAAAAAATGTCTAGTATATTTTCGGGTTTGTTGTGGCACGTTCTTTGTTGTGGATTTTTAAAAATAAAAAGCTATTAAACGAGAATTAACGAAATTTGTGGACAGTGTCAGCCTATTTATGTATACCGAGCTGTTTGAATTTGGATCTGTCGTATAATGTGTGTAAAATTATTCATATACTCGTACCCGTAAATGGGCATATAACTTTACTACGAAATATAATATAATTTCTATTGCTTTCTCGACCAACCCTCTCTATAGTTAATTGCTTTCTCTGTTCTGACAAACACTTGAGGCCTTCAATTAGATGCTTGTCAATGACGAAGGTGATAATCGGGCCTTTAAAATATCAGACCATAGATTGGTAATGTTTTTGCTTCTCCATTAAAATGACGTAGAGAAATTTCAAGAGTTTTCCCTCTTCCGGATAAATATAGACCAGAGACTGGCCAGTGGCCAGTGGGCACTCTGCATTGACGCAATGTAAATGTCAACGAATAGTTTGTCAGCACTTGGTCTTATTTTAATAATATTAGTGTGGAAAATGCTAGGTATAATTCAATACATACAGTATTGAATGCATTTGCCATCAGAATTGTGACATAAAAAAAGAGAGGAATATTCGAATGTTGTATTATTATTATCGCACAACCGATATCCGGGCTAGACCATTGAGAGGGTCTGGGCCGGGGCCGAGTACAGAATAACAGAACTCTCTGTTAAATGTCAATGTGGAATGCTGATAAAAATCATTTTCTATTTGCCCCTAGAACCCCGGCTACACGACATTTTCAATAGAAATTATGGGTAATTTTTTTTATTTTTTTTTCGTTTATTTTTTTACGAGTATTTTGCTATTATCAACATTGGGCAAAAGTCTGTCGGGCGTGGCGGGCTTTATCTAGACCACAAAGAGGTAAACAAATAGGGGAAAATTATCTAAGCTTCGATTTTGTAAGCGTTTTCGAGACGCTCTGCACATTGGAGCAAGCTATATTGGTAAATGGAAATAAGGATTGGTCTGAAAAGTGTCTAACCAAGTAAAATCTTTGTAAAGCTTATTCCGCATTACGCGTCTGTATCCCGTTTTCCTGTTTCCAATTTGATTGTTTCATGAAATCAGTTTGTGTCTTGTCTGATTATGATATATTCCTAGCCATCTCTAAGTGAATAAACGATGGCGATGAGACAGTGACGCGCGTCTCTCCAGCCACTTTGAGTAATTTAACATTTGCTCGAACGATCGATCGATCGATCGACTCGACCGATCGTTGCCCAGACAAGCCAATCAGTCCTCCGCTCTGACTTCCAGTGCGTCTTTGTCACATTTGCCGCGATATCACCCAGCGCTGCCTTTGCATTGGGGGGTAATAAAATAATTGTCGATTTCCGTCGATGTTATTAGCTTTTGGAAATGGCTTAGAGATAAGACGACTTAAAGACGGCAAAAGCGCTGCAAAACCCCTAACTAAGGAGGTTTTAATGTTCATTTAAACACTTGTAAATTGGAATTTTTAGAGCACCTGCCATAAACGCGCTCGCTGCCCATAAATCATTGTCCAAACAGAGTCGAATATAGAAATCGTCATATATACCAATAGTGACTGTAATATTGGGAGAATTGTTGTGTGTTTTTATGGATAATTATTAAATTATTGCTGTGCAATCATGATAGGTATTTATCATTTATGTATTTGTATATTTTTCCTTGTGCCTATTTAATCTTGAAAAATCTCAGAAATTATTACCAGAGATTTTTGTTATTTGGTTTTTATTATCAGGAACCAGTATCACGAAGATTTTGACTCATCTAAATCATCGGTAATCCGTTAAAATCAAAGTACTCCACCGAAAGCTATCCCATATATCACTGCCAATAATCTAATCTTAAGACGGGGATATCACGGTGCGGGTTTATTATCTGCTCCAGCGATAATTCCCTTCCCATATTTCAACATCTTCGGACAGGTGCGTTTTATGGCAATGTTAACCATTGAAGAGGTCCCCCCCACCCTTTTTAGGTTATTGACAGGCAATGCCTCAGTTTTTATCAGTCACAGCCGCGCTTATTAAATAATTAACAAGTTTAACTAAACATTAAACATTTCGATGGAAGGTCTGTCTGGAGAGGGGCTTAGAGTGCTGTTTCCACCCGCTGATCGATCAGCTGAGGAGGTTTTATAATCAGTCTAATTAAATTAAGGCTGCCTTGTGACTGACTCCGCCGAAAGTCTGACGAAAGTTATTTGCTTAAAGTTCAGGCCACGATTCCCGTGCTTAAGAGCTCTCAACCTCTTCAAACCGAACGCATTTCGTTTTGTCAGAAATTGATTGCACCGTAACCGTAATGCCCCACGTAGCATTATCTTTGATTTTTGACTTTTGTTCGTATTTGCTTCCCGGTTCTTGTGTTCTCTGTAAGGTTTCCTTCCCATCGTAAGGTTTATTTCCGTTGGTTGCATAGGCCTTCTTCTTCCCTCACTGGGGCGTGGACATACGTCACGTTTGGCCATAAAAGAAATGAATGGAAACCCTCCGGCGGGTTGCGTGGAAACACACACAAAGTATTCCTCATAATTTATTAGCGCGCGTTTCGTTTATTACATTCACGTTGAATTGAGTCTCGTGTTATTCCGGATTTTGCATGTCGATGTCATATGGCTTTTGGGTGTATTTT